CTTCTCTTGTTGCAAAGCACAGGCTCTAGGCGTGCGGGCTTCAGTAGCTGTGGCTTATGGGCTCTAGAGCCCTCTGCCCATTTTTTAACTGGGTTGTTGGGGTGGAGGTTATGTTGAGTTGTATGAGTTTTTTGTATACTTTGGATATTAATCCCTTGCAGATATATTGTTTACAAACATCTTCTCCCATTCAGTAGGCAGTCTTTTCATTTTGTTGATAGTTTCCTTCACTGTTCAAAAGCTTTTTAGTTTGATGTAGTTCCATTTGTTTATTTTTGCTTTTGTTGCCCTTGCCTGAGGAGACATATTCAAAAAAATACTGCTAAGACTGATGTCAAAGAGTGTACTACCTATGTTTTCTTCTCGGTGTTTTATGGTGTCAGGTCTTAATCCATTTAAGTCTTTAATCCATTTTGAGTTTATTTTAGTCTATTATTTTAGTCTATTTAGTCCATTTTTAGTGAGATATCTTTTCCCCAATGTATATTCTTGCCTCCTTTGTCATAGATTAATTGCCCATATAAATGTGGGTTCATTTCTGGGCTCTCTATTCATTCAGTTCCATTGACCTATGTGCCTGCTTTTGTGCCAGTACCATGCTGTTTTGATTACTGTAGCTTTGTACCATAAACTGAAGTCAGGGAGTATGATACCTCCAGCTTTGTTCTGTTTTTTCAACAGGGCTTTGGATTCTCTGGGTCTTTTGACTTTCTATACAAATTTTAGAATTATTTATTCTAGTCCTATGAAAAAAATGCCATTGGTATTTTGATAGGGATTGCATTGAACCTGTAGATTGCCTTGGATAGTTTGGTCATGTTAACAATATTAATTCTTCCAATCCATGAACACAGTATATCTTTCCATATGTTTGTGTCATCTTCAATTTCTTTCATCAGTGTTTTATAGTTTTCCAAGTACAGATCTTCTACCTCCTTGGTTAGATTTATTCCAGGTATTTTATTCTTTTTGAGGCAATTGTGAATGGGAGTCTTTTCTTTTTCTGCCAGTTTGTTGTTAGTGTATAGGAATGCAACAGATATCTATATATTAATTTTGTTTCCTGCAACTTTACTGAATTCGTTGATGAGTTCAAGTAATTTTTTTAGTGGTGTCTTTATGATTTTCTATGTATAGTATCATGTCATCTGCAAACAGTGACATTTTTACTTCTTCCTTTGTAATTTGGACTCCTTTCATTTGTTTTTCTTATCTGATTGCTGTCACTAGGACTTCCAATACTATGTTGAATAAAAAAGGTGAGAGTGGACATCCTTTTCTTGTTCCTGATCTTAGAAGAAATGCTTTCAGCTTTTCACTGCTGAGTATGATGTTTGTTAGCTGTGAGCTTGTGGCCTTTATTCTGTTGAGGTATGTTCCCTCTATACCTACACTTTATTGGGAGTTTTTATCATAAATGGATGCTGCATCTATTGAGATGATCATATGATTTTTATTCTTCAGTTTGTTAATATGGTGTATCACATTGATCTGTAGATATTGAACCAACCTTTCATTTCTGGGATAAATCCCACTTGATCATAGTGTATGATCTTTTTAATGTCTTGTTGAGTTCAGTTTGTTAATATTTTGTTGGGAATTTTTGCATCTATGTTCATAAGTGATATTGGCCTGTAATTTTCTTTTGTTGTGATAGCTTTGGTTTTAGTGTCAGGGTGTTGCTGGTCTCAGAATGAGTTCAGAAGCATTTCTTACTCTGTAATTTTTTGGGATAGTTTGAAAAGGATAGGTGCTAACTCTTCTCTAAATGTTTGGTAGAATTCACCTGTGAAAATGTCTGGTCCTGGGCTTTTGTTTGTTGGGAGGCTTTGTTTTTTTACTTATCCAGTTTCAATCCTGGTGATTGGTCTATTCATATTTTCTATTTCTTCCTGACTCAGTCTTGGAAGATTGTATATTTCTAGAAATTCATCCATTTCTTCTAGGTTTTTCATTTTATTGGTGTATAATTGTTCACAGTAATCTTTTATGATCCTTTGTAATTCTGTGATGTCTGTTGTAACTTCTCCTTTATGCTCCTTTTAAGAAGCTTTTCAATAAAACAAACGGAGCACTTTAAAAAAAAATTGTTAACCATATGCAAAATACATGACACATTTAATAACAACTAAGGTATGCAAGGCCTTACTGGGCCCATGCTGTTCTCACTCTAAAAAATATCTCATAGTGCCGGTGACTCCCAAACCATGAAGAACACCTTCAGAGAACAACCCAGTCTCCAAGAGCCAAAATGCTATGTGAGATTTGGATTCACAGCTGTGTTCCCTCAGGTGGACAATGGCCATCTGACTCCTCCCTCAGGAACTCACACACATCATTTCCAGGGCCTGCCACTCATTAATCAATATTTAACCTCCTATACAGTAAATACTGTTTTGCATTTGTAATTTCTTATTAAAGTGACAGTTTTTCCCCTCCAAAATACTTTCTTTACTCCATAATAATTAACAAATTTGACTTGAGATTTCTGATATGAAAAAGGAGTCTCCTTGATACATTTCAGATTGCATACCTGCAAAATTCCTCCAGTTCCTTCCAGGTCCTTAGTTTAAGCATTTACCTTGGTTATTTCAGATCCAGAGAACGATTCCATTGTGCTGAGTTCTAGTTCTCCTTGCCTCTATGTATTCTCAAGTACTTGGTTAACTGCCCTAGTTTAACTTTCAACTTAACAGAACGTGTATTTCTTTGTTGTAACAATACGATAGACACGGTTTCTGTATACAATTTCTCTCAGTTTTTTCAATCATAAAATCTCAGTAGCAGGGACTCTGTATCACCTTGCCTCTTCCTTAACAGATTCCCCTCCTAGGAGAGGGCTAAATCGAGCCCAGTCTGCACCTGAGGCTGTGTGTACAACCTCCACTGGACTGTTCAGCAAATAGAGGCAGCCTTTTTTTAACTTCAAGCTAATTCTGTGTGCCAAAGAAGTCAACAGTACTGAGAAATTAATTGATATTTTGCATTATTCGCAGAAAAATTTATTTTTTAAAGAATGGTATTTGCAAATTATTGTAAAATCTTCATTTTGCTTCTTTTATTTTTGGTACTAAGCAGTGCTTTTGCCTACTGCTAGCACTATATATCACATTCTCTGCTGGAGACAATTTTCACTTATTAGACCTATGGTTTAAGCTCATTAAGGTAAAGAATCACGTGAATCTGCGAGACTACTTTCATGTGACTAGAAGTTTTTCATTAAGATACTGACTCCCAAGCTACTTTGGTAGGAGGCTGAGGGCTTGGACCCAGTCAGCAGGTCCCCATTTCAAAGTGGAGGGCTGAATTTTGCAGTTTTTAATATGAATCAGATATCTACTGAGAAAATTAAAGGTGTGGACTTGTTGATGACAGATCGCTGTTTAACTTTTTTTTAATAGATTTATTTTACTTATCTATTTACTTATTTATTCTTTGGCTGTGTTGGGTCTTCGCTGCTGCATGCAGGCTCCCTTCTGTTGTGATGAGCGGGGTGCCACTCCTCGCTGAGGTGCACGGGCCTCTAACCCGGCGGTGTCCTCTCCAGTTGTGGAGCGCGGGCTCCAGGCGCGGGCTTCAGCAGCTGTCACGTGGGCCTCAGTAGTTCTGGTTCATGGGCTCTAGAGCACAGGCTCAGTAGTTGTGGTGCACGGGCTGAGTTGCTCCGCGGCACGTGGGATCCTCCCGGACCAGGGCCTGAACCCTTGTCCGCGGCACTGGCAGGCGGATTCCCAACCACTGCGTCACCAGGGAAGCCCCACTGTTTAATTTCTGTATTACAACTAGGAAGGCAAAGAAATGAGTTAAACTGCTCTGACAAAATTCCCATTTTGAGGTATTTATATTTTTTAATACTGTTTCAGAGCTCGTATCTATAAAAGAGAACAAAGGAAAAGAAATGATGCTGCACACTGCTATCATTGTAACCATAATAATACTATATATGCCCATGGATGCACAAACTAATTGAGGCAGAAAGGAAAGGAGGGAGAGGCAGGGAGGGCGGGACCACTATCCATCTCTTTAAATGAGGCAGGTGTCACTTAAGTTTTATTTTCGGTTTTACATATACCTATCAAAACTTATTTATGTTTAAACAATTGTGTACTGTCCAGATGATTTTTAAACACTGACTTCTGGTCACCTACAAGTATTTTAAAATTTCAATATCCTTTTTTGTAGAGAAAGGAGATAGATAAAACAGTGTAAAAAATATATATCTTAGGCTTCCCTGGTGGCGCAGTGGTTGAGAGTCCGCCTGCCGATGCAGGGGACACGGGTTCGTGCCCCGGTCCGGGAAGATCCCACATGCCACGGAGCGGCTGGGCCCGTGAGTCATGGCTGCTGAGCCTGCGCGTCCGGAGCCTGTGCTCCACAGCGGGAGAGACCACAGCAGTGAGGGGCCCGTGTACCGCAAAAAAAAAAAAAAAATTCATCCCTTAACCTGCTATCCGTGAGTGAAATGGATATGTAAGAAAATGCAAGAAGAGAGCAAAGGACCACATTAAATGATAGAATTTTGTGAGGAGTGGGAGCGACAGCAAGAGGATTCTGTTCTTCTTATGCCAGTAGGATAAGAGCATTACCGAAGTGGCTGAGATCATCCAGATTATGAAGATGAGATGAAGTAGGAATTTTTGTTCTTTTCTAGGAAAGAAATGGTGGTATTAATCATGTGCCCTCATAAACATAAAGTTGCTTTGTGAATCTCTGGTTAAATCTCTTTAGCCAGATTTACTTATGTTGACACACGGGTGGATTATGTTTTTTACATCTCCTTTGTCTGAGATATAATGCATTGTTGTATTTTCAACTCCTGAGGTTTGTTTTTTTTTT